AACAACCTGTTGTTCTAAAACTACTGTCTGATTTAGCAAAGTCATTCACATCATTGACAATTAAGTTCTAACATAATTGTCCTGTTTCAATTCCATCTCACTCCTTAACTTAAAAGAAAGTAATATTCAGGTTGGAGCTACATTTGCTCATTGGTCATAGCCAGGGATACCAGTGTTTGGCAAAAGTCAAAGAAAGTCTTTTGTGAGAGTCAAAGGACTATATGGAACTGACCATATAAAAAGTATGGTATATTTTATTATTTGTAAGTTGTGTGATGTGTGTACTCTGTATCAGTAAACATTTTAGTAAACATGTGTACAAACACACATTTTTTTTGGAGAGCTAGTTGTTAAACATTTACCAGCACAGCACTGCTTAAAGGTTATTTTGGGGAGAGGAGGTGACTTTATTTGGTTTTATTTTTATCTTGGTGAAAATAAATACTGCAGAACATACACCCACTGATCAATTTCTACATGTATAATTCAATAAAACTTTACATTCTTCATGTTGCATCACCATCGTAGCTACCTCTACCCATTCTGCTTTATCACCATTGACTTAGACTCACTACCCTCAAAACTTCTATGCTTTAGAGTTGCTGTTGACAATTTGATTCTATATAGATAACTCTTTAAAAGAACGCAATGCTCACGGCAAACTTTTTTTTTTTATTTTTGTAGTGTTCATGGCAGACATTCTTTCTGATCTAGCCAGGCAGCTGTTAACCCATGAGACCAGAAGAATTGGATGGTGCCCAGCTACCATTACTGAATGTTTCAATCATGGAATCAATAGATGAAACCTGAATATGGAACAGAATTTCCAATTCTTACAGAATACAGACTTACTAGATCATTGTGACTGGAGAAATCCCCAAATCCGCTGCTCAGAGAAAATCTTCAAACCATGAACAGATATTAACCACTGAAGTCATCTTTAAACTAAACAACTGTTTAGCTTATAGGTTATTGAAAAAGATGTCCCATGCAGTTCTTAATTCTGTAGTAACACTAGCAATTGAGTGATAAGAACGTGTGAAAGGAGCGCTGGTGGTGTAGTGGTTAAGGCATTTGGCTGCTAGCCAAAAAGTCAGTGGGTAGAACCCACCAGCCACTTCTCAGAAGGAAGATAAGGCAGTCTGCTTGCACAAAGCTTTACAGCCTTAGAAACCCAATGGGGGTCGCTACGAGTCAGAATTGCCTCAACAGCAGTAAGTTTGGTTTGGTTTTGGAAGGCTGTGTGATGGGAGAATGCTGAGGAATGAAAGAGAACTTGAACTCTGCCTACCAGCCAGTCATGTCCTCTCACAGCTCTGCCTGACCAACTAAACTGACCTTCTGCACTGTTGTTTTGTGCTGTTAACCAAAAAAAAAAAAAAAAATTCACTCACTGCCATTGAGTCAATTTCGACTCATAGCAACCCCTCCTTGGGTTTCCAAGGCAGTATCTCTATGGAAGTAGCTTGCCCAATCTTCCTTCCTAGGAGTGGCTGGGGGTTTGAACTGCCAGCCTTCTGGTTAGCGGTCAAATGCCTTAGGCACTACACCACCAGAGTTTTATGTTGTAAGGTGACTTCAAGTCAGTTTCAACTGTTATGAACCAAGGATCTAGTCTAACAGGTCTCCACTAGTTTGGAGAAGCCCTACAACATTTAGCTGTTCACTTTTGTTGTCTGCTTTCCACGCACAGCTTATACGTCTCTCATCACAGCCCAATACCAAATACATGTTGACTCTCACCTTTACTTACTGAAGTGCTTGTCCCACTGTCTTCATCTTTTTTGTTTTTCTCAGACATCTGTATCAGAAATATAGATTAGTAATGGCAATTCTCAGTTGGCTATTTTTCACAAATATTTACTTGTTAAGAAAAACTACTGCAGTAGGACCTTTAACAATGCCTAATTTTAAACATTCATTGCTGTTCAAGGAGTAGTTATTGAGTTCTTTTTTGCAGTGGTCCTATTTCTGCTACCTGGTGCTGTAGTGCCTAAGGCATTTGACTGCTAACCAGAAGGCTGGTGGTTCAAACTCACCAGCCACTCCTCGGAAGGAAGATTGGACAATCTACTTCCATAGAGATACTGCCTCGGAAACCCAAGGAGGGGTTGCTATGAGTGGAAATTGACTGACGGCAGTGATTTTGGTTTGGTTTTGGATTAGGAAGACCAAAGTCTGATAGCAGAGCCTACCAAAATGTTTTGAACCAAGCAAAATAACAGAGACTTGAGAGAAAATAATATTGACATGGGGCTATAGGTTATAAAGTGTTCCTGGATCCATTTACATTATAGAGCAATTTGGTTTAAAAACAGATCTGATATACTCCAGATTATGTAAAATTACTTTCTAAGAACATTTGATCAGGTGACATTATTGATAGCTCGTAGAGCTCCCACTTTTAGGTTTATAAACTTATAAACTAAGAGGACTCAAAGTTTTCAGAGAATGCTTGCTGTAACTTAGAGAGCAAGAGGAATAGTTGATTAGTTTTATGTAATCCGGTGTGATTTTTGTTGAGTACTTTGTACTTTTCTATTATTTTCCCATTTTCTATAATGCACACACTTTTGTAACGGGAGGTCGGGAGATGTTTAAAAACATGTATTAGGGTGTCATCAGTTTTATAGAAAGCTTCCACATTTGATTTGATGTCAAATGAACATGTAATCCCAAAGTCAAAAGAAAGATTTTGCATCAAGCTAAATGGAACCATATGAACTGTGGTTACCCAAAGCATTTTATTAACTGTCTTTGTGACTTAGTGAGTGAAAACAACAGCCATGCCTGCCCCTAAGGGCAGGGTAGAACAGCTGAGAGATGGGCTATAGCACCGCCTTTCAGGCCCTAAGCAACCCTGTGATCTTACTAAGCCACTCTCCACCTCTGAAGCTCAGTTTCCAAGTAAGCGAAATGAGTAGTTCGGACTCATATTTTCTGGAAAAATACCAGCACTAGCAGTCTAAACAAACACTAAACAAATGTGTAAGCTAAACACAGTATTTATATTCTATGAAAGCAAAAGGGCAAATGCATCTTAAAAAGTAGCAAATCCAGAGGAAATCAGTGTGCTTCACGTATGAGGGTAATTAGCACCACATTTCCATCACGCTTTTGTCTAGGTTTATAAATAAAGGCTCGTAGTTAAGCACAGAAAATGAAGTTCAAAGTGAAGGAAAAATTCCATCCTCCTTGACTAGTTCTCCTATGGGTCTCAGATTTCAAATCTGGGACCCTTGAGAAGAAGCAGTCCAGCTGATTGTAGCTGCCATCAGGACTCTAAGTGAAAGATGAAACCTCCAAGATAATTAAGGTTTGAATCCACACTGAATAGACGTGCTTCAACATTTCAAACCATGCTTGCAAGCACACAAACAGTACAGCAGAAAACCAGAGTCTCTTCTCCCCTCAGCCAGGAGTCAGTGGTCTGACATTGGAAGAGTCACTTCATTTCTTGGGGCCTTATCAATAAGAAGAGGACAATGATACCTCACTTGTCTACGAACAAGAGCCTGGACCACATGTTCTCCTGAGGCCCTTGCAGCTCAGGGCTCTCTAACTCCAGAGGGCTGACGCATGCAAGAAAGCAGGGGGGAACTGCTCAGGCCTCCAAAGTGGCTTCCTCATGAAATTGCCAGTGATCAATTTCAATTTTTTGGTTAATTTTCTAAAGTAGCTTTTCTTGCCAGGCCAAACAAATTCAATATACTTAGCTAGGGAGTCTAAGATGTATGAAGCTATCACTATTCTAAATCTCCCTTTGGCAAAGTATTTACCTTAAGAAGCACTTAGAACTTTAGTTGAATCGTATTCTCGGGGAAGAGGCAAGAGAGTCTGATTATTAAAATGGAATCCAGCTGGATGGACCTACCAACTCTGCACCTCTCCTTCTCGAGCTGATCAGGCACTCAGTCTAGCTGGCCACTGCCAAGCCAGCATTCTGGCTGTAATGCTAAGTGATGGTGGTTTGATTAATCACCAGCCAGGAATTAATGGGCTGCCAGGATTCCATGTCAGCGATTTATAAGAGCTCGGTTACCCGCAATAATGTTGGAGATCACAGTCCTGGTAAAGCGGGCTATCTCATTCTTAAGAGGATGGCATTTTTCTTCTGCTTGTAGGTGGTGTAGAGGGTGAATTTAGTTCTGTTTACTTTAATTCTGCATCTTACTGAGAGTGTATTGCCTCCTTCTAAAAAGCCCCAGTTCCTGCAACATGCCACCTACAAATACAATGACAAGTTTTGTATGATGGCTATAAAAGGAATTTAGAGGCCACTGACCAGTAAGTAGGGAAGTTTATCCCAGCCTTACATAGCATATGGACAAACTCAAACAAACTACCTATTTCAAAATCAAAGAAGAGTTGATGCTTTTGGGCTGTGGTATTGGCAAAGAATACTGAAAGTACCATGGACTGCCAGAAGAATAAACAAATCTGTACCGGAAATACAGCTGAATGGTTCTTAGATGCCAGGATAACCAGTCTTTATCTCAGCGACTTTGGTCATGTTGTCAGAAGGGACCATTCCCTTGAGAAGGACATCATGCTTGGTAAGGTGGAGGGTCAGTGAGAAAGGGGAAGACCCTTAATGAGATGGATTGACACAGGGGCTGCAATAACAGGCTCAAGTATAGCAAGAATTGTAAGGATGGCGCAGGACTGGGCAGTGTTTCATTCTGTTGTACATAGGGTCACTATAGTCATAAACTTAACTCAATGGCACCTAACATCTCAAAATTATGGAATTTTTAAACATTATGATACAACCACAAGACAAAATTATGCAACCATAAAAAGTGCTGCTAAAGAGGAATGAAGATAATCAAAGATGCAAGGAAACAATGAGGCCAAAGAACTAATGGACCACATGACTCCAGCCTCCACCACCCTGAGACCAGAAGAACTAGATGGTGCCACTGCTGACTGCTCTGAAAGGGATCACAATAGAATGTTCCAGATAGAGTGGGAGAAAATGTGGAAAAAACTCAAATTCATTAAAAAAAAAAAAAAAGACCAGACTTACTGGTATGATAGATACTAGTGGAACTGCCGAGTCTATGGCCCTTAGAAACCCTTTAAGCTAGGAACTGAACTCACCCCTTGTGGCTCAACTTTCAGCCAAATGATCACCCAGGCCTATAAGGTGAACAGTAACACCAGGAAGGTACGCACTCCTTTGAACAAGTTATATGAGATCTAAAGGGCAGCATTTGCCTAGGGATAAAGCTGAGAAGGCAGGAAGGGATAGGAAAGATGATGAAGGGAAATGGCAAACGCAGGGAGCAAGTGGGAAGAGTGCTGTTCTATTGTGGGGATAGCATTGAATGTGACAAAACGCATATGAATTATTGAATGGAAAACCATTTGCTCTGTACACTTTTACCCAAATCACACACAAAGAAAGTTCTGCTTTGTGAATGTGGAAGAGATACAGAGAAAGAGAGTTGAACAGAGATAAACCGACATATAGGGGAAAAAAGACAAAAGTAGGACGTACTCGAAAATGTCCACAGTAGTTAGCTCTGTGTAATAAGATTACATTCATTTAAATTGTCTTCTTCAAACTTTTCTAAATTTTTGGATTCTGTATATAAGATTGAATTACTTTTAAAACTAGAAAACAAACTTTTAAAAAGAGTAGCTTCAAAGTAAAGTGAATTTATTTTACAGAAAATCCTAGTATCCAATATCCCGTTCCTGTGCGATTGATTCCAACTCATAGCGACCCTATAGGACAGAGAAGAACTGCCTTATCGAGTTGCCCTTTAGGATCCCCTCATCTGTAATCTTTATGGGAGCAGATTGCCAGGTCTTTCTCCCACTCGGTGGCTGCTGAATTCAAATGGCTGACGTTTCAGCTAGCAGCCAAGTCATTAACCACCATGCCACCAGGGCTCTTCAGCCTTATACAGTTGCAGCTTTGTGCTGTGAAGTCGATTCTGACTCATAGCAACCTATAGGACAGAGTAGAACTGTCTCATAGGGTTTCCAGGCATGGTAGGTTCAAATCTCTGACTTTCAGTTAGCAGCTGAGCACTTAACCACTGCACCACCAGGGCTCCTTGTATACCAAAACCAAACCAAACTCACTGCTGTCAAGTCAATTCGACTCATAGCAATTCCTCCTTGGGTTTCCGAGGTGGTGCTCTATGGAAGTAGATTGCCCAATCTTCCTTCTGAGGAGTGGCTGGTGGCTTTGAACCATCAGCCTTCTGGTTAGTAGTCAAATGCCTTAGGCACTACACCACCAGAGCTCTTGCCTTGAATACATAAACATGTTATTTAAAATGAAAAAGGATATCCTACCCAGACAGCAGTCCTAGAGAAAAACAACAGCATCAAGATAACGACAAAATACCAAAACAGAAAGTTCCCCACTGCCCCACAAGAGTCATCCTTCCGGCATTCATAATCTTGATTTGGAATGGTAAGAGTTAAAGGTTTGGGAGGAGGATCCATCTCCCAAAATAAGGAAATAAGATCTCCCATGATGGCCTCTTGCTTAGAAACTAAGAAAATGCACGCAAAGGGATGAGGATGACTGGCAAGTACTCCATGATGTATGACAATTTCCTTGGCAACCTATTGTGACATACTTTTTAGCAACTGTGACAGGAACTGACCAAGGATTCTTGGATTTCTAAAAGTTTTTGAAGAATTTATCTAAATTATTTCTGTTCCTTATAGTTTTCCCTGTACTTCGATATTGGTGCATTCTGTCTTGATCATTTTTTTTTTTCTCTCTGAAACTTGTATATACTGTATTCTTGTGTTTTTGAAATCTAAGCCTCTGAGGTATCAGTTCATTTTTTTTAGTCTCCTTATATGCATCATTCCATTGTAAATTAACATACACATTGTAATGCCAACTGTACATAAAATTTGGATGGTAGTGCTTAAGCCTTGAATAAATGCACAAAAACTTGTAGACTGCATTAAAAGGGACACATAGAGATGTGTCCATTATGAATGACATCAAATGTATACAATTTCCTAGGAAACAGTCAGACTGGGGGGGGAGGGGGGCGGGGTGTGTGTGTAAATATACTAATGTGTACCTTTCACTCAACGATTTTCCAGTTGGAAAATACTAGTGCAAAATACTACTGCTGTTAAGGCAATCTAAAAATAAGTTTTTTAAAATGCCGTCTTTTAAAAAGTATGTTAGATCTTTAAAAGTATAGCTTCTTGTTGTTATGTGCCGTTGAGTCAGCCCCGACTCATAGCAACCCCTCCTTGGGTTTCCCAAGCAGTATCACTACGGAAGTAGGATTGCCCAACCTTCCTTCCGAGGAGTGGCTGGTGGGTTTGAACCGCCAGCCTTCTGGTTAGCAGTCAAGTGCTTTAGCCACTATGCTACCAGAGCTCCTTGTAGATTTTCATTAATATACAATACCGTGAGAAACGTCACTGTCTTGTCTTTGACCTCAGAAGCATTTTAGGAATAATTTGAGTCATCGGGATGTCCCCGTTGTAACAATCCACTAACTTGTGATATGGTTCCGTATCCCAACGGTGAGTCCCCAGGCCTTGCACTTTTCGGCCGTTGGACGACTGCCTCAGCGCAGCGTGCCGTCCTCGTGCACCTGTAGCTGAGTTCGTCCTGGCGGGAAGCAGGAAGCTGTCGTTTTTACATCCCCGTGCCTTGGCAGGGGCGCAATGGAGGGGTTTGTGTGTGTTAAATAAAACCATACTCAACTCTCTAACGAACATTTTCCTCGGGATTATAAATTCTGCCAAAGAATATGCAGGGAAAAAAGGGGAAAAAAATTAACCTCAAAACTACTGACAACTTCAGCAACAAAATACAATTATGTGGAGATTTGGGAGGGGCGTGTTTTGTTACTGCTGCATCCACGTTACATGTATGTTTAAGAATATACATTGGGTCAGAACTCTTGGTTTTTTTTTTTTCCCCCACACAGAGAAGAAATGCTTTGTCATCGCTGATGGTGTCTGGACACATCACGTACTTCGTATCCTACAACTAACCAGGCTGCTTAATAAAATCTTTTAAAAATGTGTCCATAGATGCCCTAAGGAAGCTAGAATTATATATCTGAATATATGTATATATACATAATATTCCCTTTGTTAGATTTATTACTTTCTACTGCTGGTTCAGTACCAGATCTGAATGTACTGTTCACCTTCCTCCGCAGAAACTGAGTGGGCGCCACCAGCACCAGAGCTGTTTCCTTGGTAACGGTAGTAGCCTCTCTCCCGCCCCCATCGCCCTCTTCTCGCGAGAAGGGGCGATCCTCTCCCTCCGGTAACTGCAGGCTGGCTTGCAGGCCGCCTTCGCCTTTGCACTCGGCTTTGCGCATGTGCGTTAGGGAGTGTAATGAGCCCGCGGCTTCCCGCCGAAGAATATGGTGCGTTTTTGGGGTCATCTTTGTGCTTCTTGAACGTGGAGTCCATGTGGGCTGTGGAAGTTCCGCGTGTGTTGATCTGCGGGGGACTCAGCTAAGGGAAAATGCGGCCAGGCGTCCCACCACCCGTAGTGAAAGCGAGAAAAGAAGCAATGGGGGTTGTTAAAGTTGCTGAGGGAGCCGGGGAGGAAAGCTCGGGGGATGGGGAGCTTTGCCGCGGGGCCGGTTGGCGGGAAGGAGAAGACTTGTGTGCCCAGTGGAGTACTAATCCGTATAGTTAGAACAAATTTGACACTTGTCTGCAAGAGCTAGGGACTGGCAAAACAGGGAGTATAAATCCCAGTGTGGACCGAAACAGTACACCTTACCCCCTCCCCTCACATTCCCGCGCCCCTCTCAGAACTTAAAATGGGAAAGAAACCCTTATGCAGTATCAGCAACACAAAACAGGTCCGTGGCATACACCACCGAGGACAGAGCTGTTTCATAGTGGCTTCTGGAAGATGGAAGAGGAGAGCCTTTATGGCTTTACATGAAATAATTTGTTTCTCGGCCTTGGAATTTTGAGTTTAAGTTCGCCCTTGAGCTGGTCCTTGTGACATACTTCAAAAATAAAATGCGGTATAATTGCAGACGTACGATCCCGAAATTACAAAATAAGATGTTTTATTTATTGTATTGTTCTCAGAAGAAGTCAGCCAGTTTTCTGTTGATTACACCATAGTGCGGATGAAGGCATAATTTAGGGTTTCTTTTTCATGTATTAATATGTAAAAGACCTTGATAAGGCATTTTGTAGATGAGAAATAGGCATCTGCTATTTTTAATTACCTTTATAAAGGACACAAATATTTGATTTCTTAAATGGGGAAGTAATTTTGTTTTTATTAATTTTCTGGGCTTTTTGTTTTCAATAGATGCAAGGGGAAGCAAACCACACTGCTTCCCTTATTGACAGAACCATCAAGATGAGAAAAGAAACAGAAGCCAGGAAAGTGGTTTTAGCCTGGGGACTCCTCAATGTATCTATGGCTGGAATGATATATACGGAAATGTAAGTTAATTCACCAACCAAGTAAAATAAAAGTGGAAATTTAAGAAGCCACAGGTTCTTGTGTTTTGTGGTTTTGTTTTTTAAAATAATGAGAAAAGCTTTTCTAATTTTTTCAGGACTGGAAAATTGATAAGTTCATATTATAATGTGACATACTGGCCCCTCTGGTATATTGGTAAGTAATCAGTTAATCAGTTTTCACTGGAATTTAGATTTACTACCAGTGAAAAACTGCATCAAATTTTATTCAGCTTAATATTCTTTTATTTGACAAATATTTGAGTTTCACATGTTCCAAAAACTGGGAACAGGAAGAGAACAAGATAAAACCTTGCCCTCATGGAAGGGACATTTCCATTAGAGAAGACAGACAATCAAATTAATAAACAGTACAATTTCAGGTAATAATGAGTTCTGTGAGGAAAATGAAAAGTTTGGAGATGGTGGGATCGTATTTGTTACTCTCCTTGAAATGCCCTCCCTATTCCCTTGCCTAGGGAAAACCTTTTTCATCTTTCATTATGAGCCCAATTTGGCTACTCCATTGATGGCTTCCTCAATTTCCTCCTGTCCTTTGTTTACTTTTCACAGATCTTGAGTATAAAGAATCTTCATGGATGTTGAAGTGAATTCCATAATCTAATAGGCACTTTAAAGTCTGGTAGGGAGATGAAAGAAAGAACAAGAGCCTTAGGTTCTACAGACTTGAGTTAGAGGCGGCTTTACTAGCTGTGTGCTCTTGCCAAAGTCACTTGGCTTCTTTGAGACTCTTAACTCATCTTTAAAATGAAAGTGATAATGTTTATTGTATAGGGTTGTAAGGATTAATGATAATACTTTGAAAGTCACTGAAATACTTAACTCAATCTGTATGCTGAGCAAATAATCCGAGAATCTGAGCTATATGTGAAGAACATGGCTATCGGGTTTGGAGGAAAACTCATTAACAGTCTGAACTATGCAGATAACACAGTCTACCTTACTAAAAGTGAAGAAGATTTGAAGGACTTAAGAAGATTAAAGACTGCAGTCTTCAATGTGGATTACATCTCACATAAAACAAAAGCTCTCACAATTAGACCAATAAGCAACATCGCAGTAAATGAAGAAAAGATTGAAGTTGTCAAGATTTCATTTTACTTGAGTCCCCAATCAGTGCCCATGGAAACAGCAGTCAAGACATCAAATGACATATTGCATTGGGCACATCTGCTGTATGAGTCTTTTTTTTTTTAAACTGTTAAGGAGCTCTGGTAGCATAGTGGCTAAAGCACTTGACTGCTAACCAGAAGGCTGGCGGTTCAAACCCACCAGCCACTCCTCGGAAGGAAGGTTGGGCAATCCTACTTCCGTAGTGATACTGCCTCGGAAACCCAAGGAGGGGTCGCTATGAGTCGGGCCGACTCGACGGCACATAACAACAACAACAACAAGGAGCAAAGATGTCTATTTGAGAACTAAGATGCACCTGACCCAAACCATAGTATTTTAAATAGCCTCAAATGCATATGAAAGCTTGACAGTGAATAAGGAAGACTGAAGAAGAATTGATGCATTTGAGTTGTGTTGGTGAAGAATATTGAAAATACCATGGACTGCCAGAAGAATAAACAAATCTGTCTTAGAGGAACTACAGCTGGAATGCTCCTTAGAAGCAAGAATGGCCAGGTTTCATCCCTCTTATTTTGATCACGTTATCAGCAGGGACCAGTCCCTGGAGAAGGATATCATGCTCAGTGAAGTAGAGAGGGTCAGCGAAGAATGGGAAGAACCTCAACAAGATGAATTGACATAGTGGCTGCCATGATGACCTCAAGCATAGCAACATCTATCAAGTGAGGGTTGCTCAGGGCTGGGCAGTGTTTCGTTCTGTTGTACATGGGGTCACCATAGGTCAGAACTGACTGAATGGCAGCTAACAGCAACACATAATAGATACTTATTAAATGGTAGCTGTTAGGAGGGATAAGGAGGAGGTTTTAAATTTTGCTAAAGTATGGAAGCGTTTGTTCCCCCCCACCCCATGCACACATGAAATGTCTTTTTTAAAAAATAAATTTATTCTCTTCCAGAGCTTGCCCTTGCATCTCTCTTCAGCCTGAATGCCTTATTTGATTTTTGGAGATATTTTAAATATACTGTGGCACCAACAAGCCTGGTTGTTAGCCCCGGACAGCAAACACTTTTAGGGTTGAAAACAGCTGGTAGGTGTTTTGTATCTCTTGCAAAAGAGGGGAAAGGTTGACAGTAAATCTCTCTCAATTTAATTTTCCCTTTTCATAGACTCAGAGCTAGGCCATCTAGTTCAAGTATGTTGAACAGGTCTACAGTAACTTTTTCTTAAGCATATTAAGTTGTCAAGTATATTTATCTGGTCTACAACAAGTTACCGATGATTATCGTTCCTGTTTGTGTAAATTGAATGGAAAGAACCTTCAACAGCCTCATGGAAGTTTGTTCCATTGTTGAATTGCAATTACAACTAAAGACTGACTTGCTGTATTAAAGCCAATTTCTCATTATTTTGAACTCTGGAAATAGTAAACAACTGATTTGTGTTCTTCGGTAATAATACTTCATATAATTTAACAACAAGGTCACCTTGTTACTTTCCTTTTTTGTGAAGAACAAGACTCAGTTTCTTAAATCTGTTTTAAAATTTGTTTGTGTGATTTTTTTTGTTTTTCTTTCTAGTTGTACAGACGACTCCTCCACATGATCTGGCAGCACCCCATACCCCTCCTTCTCCACCTTCTCCTTCTATTCAGGGTCAAAGTGTGTTGAGTTATAGCCCCTCTCGTTCACCCAGTACCAGCCCCAAGTTCACCACCAGCTGTATGACTGGATACAGCCCTCAACTGCAAGGTCTGTCATCAGGTAGCAGTAGTTCATACAGCCCTGGAGTGACCTACTCACCTATTGGTGGTTATAATAAGGTAATAACTCTTTTCTCTTGGCCAGTCACGTTAGTTTAGAATTGAGAGGTACCTTTTGGTATGTCAAAACTTCTCATTTTATTGATGAGGGAATTGAGGAGCTGTGGGTAATTGACTTGCCCAAATCACCCATTTAGTAAAGAACCAAGATATCCTGATGCCTTGTCAGAAGTTGTTCACACCACATCTTAAATGAACAAGAAAAAATTGAGCATTTGCGATGATAATGAACTGAGGTTCACCATCTAGATCTTTGAGCAAGCTCCTTAAACAGAATTGAAGCTGTAATGTTGGGCTTTTCGTTTCTTACTCATATTTTTCCTCTTCTGTGGCTGCTTCATGAGAAGCCTTTGTGTATCTGAACTGTACTGCTTTGCATTGTGTTGGAGTATCTTCCAACAAAAAACAGGTTGTCGTGTAGTTTGACTCTGGAGCCTGGCCTTTTCATGGAATGAGTACAAACCGTCATTCCAACTCCCACAGTAACGTGGACTTTTGTTCTCATTTTCAGGCTTGATAGAAGCAGAATTAACAGATGTGAATTTATGACTCTTATCTGAAGCATAAGTCACTAAGAGGGACATTAAAAGGGGAGTGGTCATGTTTTCAGATGCTGTCACGGTTGTGTTGGACTGACATCTCTGTGGCTACTTGATAAAAGAGGAGTGTCTGCAGACTAAACCAACACCCTGTCTGCCTTTGCCCTTTTGTGTCATGTTTCTACATCCATTTCCTCGTGATGTTTAACTTGTACAGCATTCACTAGATTCTGCTACCTGGCAAAATTGGATTTAATATTGAGTAACCTGTAGTATGGCATTTTACTATGAACATAAAAGTATAACTGGTGCAGCATTTTCATTGGCAGAATGGGAATATGTATAAGCGGTGTTCATGTGCTTTGACCAAATAATCTGAGTTTTAGTAATCTGTCCTAAAGCAAGTCGTGAGAAATGGAAGCAAAGACTTACATAAAAAGATGTTCATTACAGCATTATTTACAGTAGCCAAAATTTGCAGATGGCCTAAATGTCCAAAATAAGAGCATATAAAAAGAAATTATGGTATCTTCATATAATAAAATACACAGCCAGTAAGAAGAATATTTATAAAGGATTTTTATAGAAAAATAGTTTAAAAAAGATAAAAGCTAAACAATATTTTCTCAATTATGTAAAAACAAAAATACATTGATTTAAAGATTTGGAAGTACATAGAATAAAAGGATTCTGTCATCTCTGGGTGATGTTGTGTTATGTATTCATACTTTTTTTTCATACTTCATGTTTTTAATATAGTCAAGCAAAACTAAAGTTTATTTTTAGTCAAAGAAAAATAAAGCTCTTTTTTGTTAATTGTGGTCAACATAACAATACATGTGCCGATTCTCCAGTTTTTACCTGTGTAAATCAGTGATACTGACTACATTTACCATGTCGTGCAGCCATTACCTCTGTCCTCTTCCAAATTATTCTACTGCCATTAACAGAAACTTAGTGACCCCTAAGCAGCAGCTCTCCCTTTCCTTCTGTCTCCCACTCCTGGTAACCACTAATCTTTGGTCTCTACACATTGAGCCTGTTTCATATGTGTGGGATTATATATTTGTTGTTTTGTGACTGATTGACTTAGCATAATTCTTTCAAGATTCATTCGTCCATGTTGTAGCATGTGTCACAAATATGGTTCTTTTATTTTATATAGTTGGCAAGCTACAGTCCCTCTCCTTGTTCTTCTCCATACCCTGCCACTGTTGGACCAGTGGAGAGCAGCGGGTTGAGATCTCGCTACCGTTCTTCACCCACCGTCTATAACTCACCTACGGACAAAAAAGACTACATGACAGACCTCCAAACACTGGACACTTTCCTGAGAAATGAAGAAGAGAAGCAGCATAGAGTTAAGCTGGGTGTGTACATTTTTTATTTCGCTGTAACGTACATTTTTTATTTCGCTGTAACGTGCATTTTTTATCTCGCTGTAACGTACATTTTTTATTTACATATAATGTACATTTTTGGTGCCACTTTCCATAATTCCTGGACTGTTATTTTCATTATTTTGATACTTGTATATAAATTTCTGAGGAGTTCTGGTGGTATAGGGCGAAAAGCATTTGATTGCTAACCAGAAGGGTGGCAATTCAAACCCATCAGCCACTCTGCAGAAGGAAGACTAGGCAATCTGCTTCCATACAGATTTACCACCTCAGAAACCCAGAGGGGGTCACTGTGAGTCGGAATTGACTCAATGGCAGTGAGTTTGGGTTTTTAGTGCCTAAGGCATTTGACTGTTAACCAGAAGGGCGGCAGTTCAAACCCACCAGCCACTCCTCGGACGGAAGGTTGGGCAATCTACTTCCGTAGTGATACCGCCTCGGAAACCCAAGGAGGGGTTGCTATGAGTCAGGTCCAACTCAATGGCACATAACAACAACAAGGATAAATTTCTAAGTCTCTTTTACTAAGAGACGTATGTAACGTAGGGGAGAAATACATCTTTACTTTATGTGTACTACAAATTTTATACACTTAGAATGAAGTTCGCCAAGTTTAAAAAGCAAAATGTCATTGAACTGAAAAATCTTTTAATTTTCATCTAGGATAAGAGTGAAAGCTTTTTCATATAATACAAGTTACCATTTCTACTTAAAAGTTGTGGTTATAAAGTAACATTTTTGAAGCATACCTTGCAGATTGTTCTGGTGATGGTTGGCTCCTTTGGAAGATTAAGGTAGAAAGAAATATTACAGGATGAGAGCATGAATTTACTGTAGAAGTGCTGCTGTTTTTCAGAACATCTTTTCACTAGTCTTTTAGTATTTCCTTTAAGCCTGTAGTTTACCTTGGGAAACTGTTATCAAATCTTAAGTCTGTTTGAGTAGATTGGATTATTACAGAGTGAGTTATTAGAAACCAAATTAGGTGATTGAGCTGAGTAATGGTTTCCCCTCAGGAGCATCACTGGAAGCATATCACGTGATAAGGTGGAGCTGTGGGGAGAGAGCCAGTTACTGCACCCTGGCTCCTTGTGGCACCTGAAATCGCCAGGGATTTTTAATTTAATTTTGCCTGACAGGGCCTTGTGTGTCAAAGAAACAATTAAGAGTGTCTTTGTTATTCTTTGATAGACAGTTTTTCTCCTTTTAAAAAATTTGAACTATTTCAAGTGTACTAAAAAGTCCAGGGCATAAGACAGATAATGGTGTGTGTACCTCTACAAGTCTTTGTTGTATCCAGATACTTTCTGGTTTCTGTTTTCATTTCTTCTTTGGGAGTTATGTAGAGTGTTGCTGTTGTTGTGTAGAAGGATATTGATGTTAGTTGTAATTTGCAAAAGTGAAGAGATGTGGTTATCTTTGTTTATTTTCTGATTTAATTGTACTGTGGTTATAGATTCTGAGCTGTACCCTATCAGTGTTTTGGTATTTTTTTTTGAGACTTGCTCCCAGGCCTGCTGTATGGGCCCTTGGAGCCTTGCCAGGGCTCTTGGTGCCCTGAAAAGAGTGTATACAGTAACTATTGGGCTTCATATTTGTTCAGTGAATCAAGCTTCTTGATGATGTTCTGAAGTTATTTTATTAAGTGTAATCCACTTGATCTGTCATTTGCTAAAAAAGTGTTAAAAGCTCCCACTTATTGTTTCCTATGAAATGTTTCCTTCTGTTGAATTTGCTAAGAATATATGAGATTATGTTAAGTGTGTATAAATTCAGGATTGTTGTATCATTCTGGTGAATTACTCCATTATTTTTATGTAGAGGTCCTTTTTATCTCTTAGGCTTTATACCTTAAAGTCTGTTTTTATCTGATATTAACATAGTGATCCTAATTTTCTTTTGGTTGGGCCATCCCTTTACTTTTGACCTTTCTGTGATGATACTTAGAAATTAATATCTGGTTACTGGATATGCTCATTGTTACTGGGTTATATTGCTTCTAGGTCCTCTTCTCAGATGGTCAGGAAATACATGTCTGCACACAGAGAGAGAGATGTGTGCACACATGCTTCTATATTTGGTTTTGTACATGTCCATCTCTCTGTGTTATAAACCATGAGTTCATACTGACACCTCCAATTCAGTCCAACTACACGAGGTTACTTCTTCCCTCCCTCTTCCGGTGATTGTAACTGCTCTATCTAGGAGTGAGAAGCCAGGCTCCTCATCCTCAGAACTTCAGCTGTTTGCTCCAGCCCCCTGGGAGGAACCAGTCTGACCAGGTTGGTCTGTAGCTTGTCCTTTTCTAATATTTTTGCATGGGTTACTATATGTTTTTCATGTATTTTTGGCCAGTGCACAATAGATATTAAGACTTCCTATTTATTTATATTTCTTGTCTAAAGCTATCTTCAGTGAAATTTTTCTCAAGCTCAGGCTTTCTCTTAGAAAGCTTGATTTTCATTCTTAGAGTTCATAGTCAGAATGATCCATCAGAGTAATATAGTGTCCAGTGCGCCATCGTGGCCTGCTGTCTGCCTTCCTTTTCTATCCCGTTTAGCCGGCCTTTTATTTTGGTTTAAAACTTCTTTTCTTGGCATTAGTTCATTCCTGTAGGTCAGTTTTGTAAAAAGTCCCACTTGGACATTTAACTTCACACGAAGTGTATAATCTTTCCTGTACATAACTAATTATTTTTATACCAGCATGAAACATACTAGTAGTATTCACCAAAGCTACTTGAGCAAGACTAGCTAACCTTCAGGGTTTTAAGGCTGCAAATTGAAATGTTGATTTATATTCCTTTCATGGTTCTTATCCTTTGTGCCTATAACCATAACAAGAAAACCAATTTTATTGTTTTATAGTAACTCCTTTTAAAAGTTCTTCTAAGATAAAAAAAGAATCCATTTCCATTCATGATTTTTATGTGGGTGTGAAGTAGTGATTGATATTTTTTAATATTTAACTAATATATCTTAAGATGTCATTTAAGCCATTTTGTAAGTAAATGTGTAAATTTAGGTGTGTGGCCAGCAGGTAGTCTTCTAATTCAGTGTAGGAATCACTACTAGCCATTGACTGGGATACCTCGTGCAGGGAAAGGAAGGTTAGCTTGTAACCCAGAGAGTAGTTTGTCAGTAGTCATTATCCATTCAAAAGGAGCATCTAAAAACTTAAGCATGGACCTGGCTTAGCCTATTTGCTAAAACGGCAAGGAGGCCACATGTTCTGACCTCCTCTAACCCTACAAGAGGAAGACAGGATTACCAGCAGTAACCCAAGGCCAATTACTGCCAGGCCAGACATGCTGCCTCCCTCCAGCCCTTTCACCAACCATTCCTCCCAAAATACCCACCACCTCTCTCCTGGGTTCGATAATTCGCTGCAGTGGCCACACAGAACTCACAGATTACAGAGTTTATTAGGGAAGCACCAGGCTACAACTCAAGTTCAGGAAGAACACTCAGTCTCTCTCCCAGCCCACCATCCCTCAGCCAAG